TTGTGAATATGGTTAGAAACTTTTTGTTTCCATAAATACGGGAGCTGAGGGGCCATTAACTCTCTAGGAAGACTGTCCTCCACGGAGCTGATTACGTAGTTATCTCAGCCAATCCATTAGTTAGTTTATCAGGCCCTAACATTTTAGTGTTGCGATTAATCCTGTTAGAAAAATACATACTTCGAAACACAGTCTCGTTTCCAATTCAGCTTCGCCTGAAATGTATTCTCATTTATTTAATTCAGTTATACAAACAGAAAACTCGTGTCGCAGTAGCCCTACATACACTTAAAAGTAAGCGCTGGTATGAGTCACTGTAGCTCAGTCAGGAAAGCGGCTAACTACGGGCTTGAAGGCAGAAGGTTTCCTCTCTGCAGGAGTGGGGTCGTTTTATCACGTCCAGACCAGGTCTGGCGCTCAACCAGTCCTTCACGGTGCGCTGCGCGGACTCAGGGGCAACGTCTTACTTTTCTGTGCAGACTTCCATTAAATTCCGACGAATGGTTCATGACTTAAAAGACTCGACCGACGGTCAGATAGAAATGCGTGCCCCAAGGAGTTTTTAATTTTTGGATTGGCTAGAGTGAAATAAATATAAAATCTGCATTAATATTACGGATTATGAATTAAAGAGATGACGTTTCTACAGTGTGGCCCAATATAAAGCAGCTTAAAAGACGATAGTATCTCTGAATGAACATGAGGAGAATTACGGTGTTACTGCATCAACATTGTTAACATTCTTATGCTTGTTTTTCAGTTAATAGGATGCAAAACTGCGATGAATGAGTCTAAAAATGCTTCTATTGAGAGTCTCTGAAGTACAGCATTTTTCGAGGCTTTCAACAAACAAAATGTGTAGGATGTACGCGAATCATCACACGTAAATTTTAAAACATACTATGCTGCATTGTTTTGAAGCATAAGAAGTTGCTTTTAGTTTAAATTTCTCAAATGTATTATTATTATTATGGCATTTTTGGGGAGAAAAATGTAATTTTACAACTGTTCTGTATCCTACTTCAAGCTGTTTTATTCTGGGCCATATTCTGTATATGTCAACCTACATGTGCATTGTGTTATGCAAAGTAGAAAGCAATTTAGTATGTCGAAGTGAATGGTACTTAGCGAAATAAATCATTACAGGCGACTGAACTGGTGTTCGGTTAGTGATTCGAATGCAAAGTGTACAATAAATAAATGTTAATTAAATTGGGCAAGTTGATACAGGAAATTGAGAACAGTACAGGATATTGATAATTAAAGATAGTCGAAAGCTGTTATGAATTTGTCTTCACTGAACAAGGAGAAAGCAAGGTGGCCACGTATTCGGCAAAGGAAGCTGTAAAGATGACCAGAATGTTAATGCCAGACATCTGGAACACAGAACAGGTTCAGATGCTTGACAACATGTGAACGAATCGCAATATAAAATAGATTAGTTAATCAGATACGAAATTTCCTGTTTTAATACATTTCGTCAGAACGATAACTGAGTATGCGTTTTTATGTTCTTTCAGTTGATTTTTATGGTTGTAATACTTCTCCTTCTGTATGAAGAATAACGAATGGATATCCTCGTAAACTAATTTCTAAAACGAATATTTCGACTTAAGAGAGATTTAACTAATAAGTACAAAAGAAAATTGCAAAATTCTAAAATTCAAAATGTGTACACTTCAGCCATATTTATGTGGTGAATCGAAATATATCAGCAAGGTACAGACATACAACTTTTATTGCTTATCATAGAAGCATAATCACCAGGGGAAAGCGACACGCATGGCAGAATACTAAACGGATATTAACAAACACAGATAATACCAACATACAAAATAGTTCAGGGTTGTGTTAAATGGAGGACATTTGTGTTATGGTAACGAGCCTTCTGTCTTTATAACAACAAAAAATTAATGAATGTTGATTACCTGTCTATTATTGATCTTTACATTAAATTATTTTACACATGTTAGGTACCACACTCATTTTTCCACTAGTTTCTAACTGTATCAGTGCTGTCAATCATTTTATTGCTTCCTGTAAAAACATGACGCCTTTTCATACAAAGTCGGCGGCGTCAGATATGTGACAGCAGTGACGAAGCGTTCATGTCAACCGTGTTAGCCTGGCTAACACGGTTAACTCCCCTGGTTGACAGCATTTCCATTGAACTTTTTTTTCGAGGCAGTGCACAACGTTTAAATTAACGTTCGATCTTTGTCTAAGCACCAGGCTAAGCTAAATCTTAACATTGGCGCTAAATTCAGATGAATGGCCGGGTTCACGCTCCGGTTATTTTTCTCACGCGAATAAAACATCGAGTTCTAGACTGGGTCGGTTCCAGAGCCGATCTGGTCAAGGTGGCGAAGAATTACTGTCTCTGTTAGCAACCGACCGTCAGTCGCCCATTTAAGTGCATCAGGTAACTAATCTGAATTTTATTAAGTTACAACGGCCTTGTTGTTTATGCAGATGTAATGAGAGTTAACTCTACGTACATCCATAAAGGTGGCATCCAGGGCCTTAGGAAACCAAAGAAAGATGGAAACATACCAATAGAATTTATAAGAAATGTAAATTTAACCATATTACTTAACTCTGACATAATGAAGAGCTCCATAAGCTGTACTCGCCAAATATAATTAAACATATCAAGTAAAGGAGGATGAGATGGGCAAGGCATGTAGCCTGCATGGGATAGAACAGGAATGTATATAGAGTTTTGGTGAACAAACCAGAAGAAAAGAGACCATTAGAAAGACCTAAACGTTGGTGAGAGGATAATATTAAAATTAATCTTAGATAAATATGACGGGGTGATATGGACTGGATTCTTTTAGCTCAGGACAGGAACCAATGGCGGGCTCTTGTGAACACGGTAATGAACATTCGGGTTCCATAAAATGTTGGGAATTTCTTAAGTGTCTGAGCGACTGTTGGCTTCTCAAGAAGGATTCGGCTCCATAGAGTAAGTACCTGACTGTAATTAATAAGATTTAGTAATATTTACATCCGCGGATGAAATGAGAGTGTGTGTTCTTTTGAAAAGAGGGTCTGGAAAACGAAAAAAAAGTTATCCAAAGCCATGACATAGCTTAAATTGTTGTACGCCATTGTAACGTAAGTTAACGCTTCTGTGGTGTATGAAAGCGTTGTTTGGATTTTATGATCAAGCAATCCGCACCACAGGTAGCCGAAGCTCTTGGGGCCTTGACCCTTGAGGAGGGGCCATGGACGACAGAGCTTGGCGTCTCTTTCTCAGGAAGAATTCCTAGACTGATAACTGACAGCTAAACAGTCTGTGAGCCATGTCCGAACGTGATTTCAACAAGTCAATAAACATCAGATAAGCGGAAGTAAGCACAGATATCGTACTTAAGGCATGCTCATAGAGAAGAGTTCAATAATATCATATCCTTTAAGATAGCAACAACGTGTGTAGAAACGTGCATTAACACCAACAGCGGTTGTGAACAAAACTGAATGCGTTCACTATCGATGTTTTTGTCAGCAGTGTTGACGAAACGAACACTCTACGTCCAAAACCACTTCTTTCATGCGAATTTGTTTGGTCCATATTAGTTGCAAGCTTCGGACACAATTTCAATTATATGATGAAAACGTCGGCAAACTTCTACCAGAGCGCTCCGCGCTGTAACCGGGAAGACAGGCATCTTTATACTCGCTGCCGTGAGAACCTGTAATCTCACGGAGGAAAAGAAGTTTGTTGCACACAATGTTTGCGTTCGCCTTGATCTGTACACAACTTTAAAAGTAATCTATCTTACTACGAGACCAGCAAGTGCCGGTCAGAAATGAAGCCCGACGTAGAACTGAGAGTTTGATATGTGCTGCTTTGTCAGTCTATCGCACACCTCATAGGGTGGTGAATGATGGGTTCGGAGCAAAGGTGTGATGATGCTGAACAAGGACGAACCGAAGAACTAGGACAAAACTCTCCAATAGTGCCAATTTGTCCACCACGAAACTCAAGTTAAGTCACCCGGGATTGAATCCTGGTCTCCACGGTGATGAACCAGCGTCTAAGCTACCTTCAACCACCCCAGAATTATACAAAAACTAGTGGAATACTGGCAGTTGCTTTATGTTGTAACGAACTTCGGTTGAGATTTTGGATTCTCACGGCGACGAGTATGAAGATGGCTGTCTTCTGGGTTGTTGCGCCGTGTAGTTTGATAGATATTTCTCGACGTCATCATCACTCTGATAATCTAGGCAGTAAGCTCCTCTGAAACGTCTGTCAATTTGTGTCAGACTACACGGAATACCATTCCAGAAGACAGCCATCTTCAAGAACGAATTCCTCATAACGTGAAAGCACCGAAATGTGAGAAGGAAAAATGAATGTTAATGTCAAAGTATAGACGTAGTTAACAAGCCACGAAATCTAATTACATGATTCATTAACTATTTAGTGGCTTCTGCTTGTGGGTGGAACAGCCATTATGGCTGCGTCTCAACTACTCGTGTGTTGAATGAATACGAAATAAGCGCAAGAACAAGTAGGTAATTGTTTGTCTCAAGAATGCGGGTTCGAATCCTGTCTGGCGTTAAAATTTTCAGTGTTAATATCGACAGGAGAGAAGATCTGTCAAAATATTGTGCCCCAAGATGCAGTGACTAACTCATATAAGCCTGTTCTAATTTTAACTAAACTTTACGTTGATCCTCAGATATTCGGATAAATTCCTCTGACAGTGTTCCATTTTGATTCATGCAAGAATTTCTTTACGCACTGTTCATTACATGGATGCAAAATGAATGTCTTCAGGCAGAAGGAAAAGATAGTTATTACATTTTCTTCTTCTAACTGTCTTGACAGAAAACTCACACAGAAATGTTAAAAGAAATAAGAATTTTTATTCGCAGATTGCTCAATTCGAGGGACGAAGCTTTAAACCCGTTTTAAAGATTAGATGAATAGTGATGACGTTTCGACGAGAAACTTAATTTAAGACCATGACAACAGAAGTCCTTACCGCCATGATTCAAGCAAGGTCTGCTTGAAAGGTTGTTACTCAACCTGTCAAGGAATTCCCAGCCATTTATGAAACCCGAAAGTTTATTGCCGCGAGATTCCACGTTCTCACGACGAAGAGTGAGAAGACTGTCTTCTGGTATGTTGTGGCGGGTAGTCTGGTAATCGCCCTGATGATGGAAGCAGTAAGCACCTTTAAAACATCGGTCAGTTTCAAGATCCAACAAGACGGCTATAGCCATAAATTAAGTTCTTTTGCGTTAATTTTGGAGTTCTGTATGTCAAAAGAACATTTGCAGAGGGTAAATCATCATCATAAAATAACTACTTCTTTCTAGTTCTACTTTTGACCTTTGTGAAAGCGTTTTTCCCCAACAGAACGAATACAACAGTGCCCGTGAACAGTGGCTTCGTAATGACAAAATAACTCTTCTCGCCCTGATACTTCCGCAGAAATTTCTCTCTGAAAAGCGTTGTTCTTCGAGTTAAACTTATCGTGACAAAGAAACCAGCAGAATAAATGTATCAAACAAATAGCTATATAGAAGACAAACATAAAACAGATCTGCCATAGAACTGCAATTCCGTCATTAAGTTTTGGATTAATTACAACTTGTGTAACCGAAGGGTTGATAACCTGTGAGACCTGGGCGTGGTTGGGAGAGGAATGTCGAAATACATCTTGGGGAATGAAGGTGTGAAGTCTGGGAATGGATTAAATTTTACACCTCCATCATATTCTTAGTTGTTAAACCCATGATTTCAGGCAAAATTTTGGAATTTTACTTTATACATATGAAAAAGAAATCCTTTGTCTCTTTCTCAGTTTGAGAATCAGAAGCATTCTCTACCTATTGTCGACTTCATGTGAACCCTCAGCAAGTCGCTAAATTCTCCGCCTTTTATAGAACCAGAAGATTCATGAGACCTGCCACCAATCCCAGTCCTGATCCAGGTGAATCCAGTCTACACCCTCCAATCCTATTTCGCTACGTTCTGTTTTAATATAAACCTCACATCTGCTTCTAGGTCTTCCGGGTGTGTGGTGCCTCCAGGCTTCACAAACAGAATTTTATATTCATTTTTACCCCC